TTCTATGATTCTCCTTAATCCATTTTATAAAGTATTTTAAAAAATTGTATACTCCATTTATTTTGGGGCAGATGCAGATGAAGACAGGGCCTTTGATTAAACTAGAAGGCAACACTGAGTTGAAATGGCAAGAGACGCTGATTTAAATACACCCCCTATGAGCACACCTTAGCTCAGGCAGTGCTCTTCAAAGCTCCTCAGAGCTTTTGATCTGTTGTTGCAGTTTGTAATGTAAAAGAAAATCAGAGGAGTTTTGAGTAAGTTGGGACAAGACCATGGTTGGTTTTAAAGGCTTTGCTTTAAAGCAGTTTCTGATTCTGGGTAAACATTTTTTAGACAAAATCCTTGGTTGCAGTCACCCGATCCAAATGACTGAGCTCACTGCTAGTGGGTTACTTCTCATTAGCAGAGCTATCATCTGGCTTAAGCTAGCACCTTCTACTTTGTGATTAACATGTGCAAAAAGTGGATACCTAGTTAATTACTATGTCTCAGCTGAAAAGCAGCAACACATTAGTCCCTAGTAATTTAATTGCTTTTACTTGTGAATCCATTCACATACTTACTTTTATAAGTAATTTTATTGATTAAGGGGTGGGATTAGGATTGGGGTTTTGGTGCATGATACCCCTCTCATGAATATTGCACGTTATGTCTTGCTATTTTTGCTTTGTTTCTTAATTCCCTCATCATTTGTGACCCACAGTAAAGTAGAACTAAAAACTCCAAGGACGTACACAAAAAAAAATCATTTGAAAGTAAGAATGCTGCTTACTATCAACTGGAAATCTCTTTATTCTCAAACCTTCTGTGATTTAGCCTGGGGCTTAATTCACTGTACAGTACTGATGAAGAAAAGAAGCCTGAGTCAGGTTTGATTCTAGGTTTTGCACCTGTTAGAACAAAAGAATATTGAAGAGAATAACATTCCCTGGCTTATTTGGCTCTAGAGGTACTTAATTTAAGACATTATTGATGTAACTTAAGGAACTTCTCATCTGTGTGTGACTTTTCAGGCCTGATATCTCTATCATGCTTAACTGAGCCAGGTCCATATTTATAAGTGACGAGCAATAAATGAGCACATAGGCACTCACATTAAAAATTAAATTAAATTGGAAGAAAAAAAGAAGAAAAGGAAAGAAAAAGGAGGTGATCAAAACCCATGCTTATTCCCTTGCCGGTAGTCTAGGAGAATCCCTTCAGCTTCACTGCAGTCAGCAAATACGCTCCACCTGTCACACAGACCACAGACAAATTGATCAGTATATGTGTTTTCACAGGGTCCTCTGTCCCATTTCCAGTTTGACAGTCAGTGGATCTAAGGGTCGTAAGCTGCATTGGAAAAATTTAAGTCAGCATATGCGGGGTATTAAATCAATTATACCATTCTGAGTAGTGGTAAAGGTGGAGCTCTTTCCTAAGTCCGCTGGCGAGCACCTTGAATTCTTGTTTTCATTTGTGGCCTCACCACAGAATTGTTGTGTGTTCATGAGTAAGCCAGTTCATCACTCTACCTCCAAGTCTTTCAGCTGTAAATGCAATGCGGCCTCCTCACCACAAGATTTTATTAGGGCCCAGAAACTCTTTGGTTAGAGTCAATGGCAAAAGAGGCTTTTGACCTCAACGAGGGTTAATATTAGGATCTTAGTATCTGTAAGGCACTTTAAGAAACTCAGATGAAAGGTGAAGTAACATAATAAGGAACAACAACAAAAAATCACTGAACGCTGAGCTTGCTGAGTTTGCTTTACCCATGGCCTGTCTGTAGATGCAGCACAATATAAAGAGGTAATTATGTAACTTTTTCAGAATGGGGCTGTAGTGGGAAAAATAAATGCTAGGGAGATCTGCTTTTTATACACAAAATATGTACAAGTAGCAACTTTATGATCATTTTGTTACAGCTCTTAAAATGAGCCCGTGTGCTAGGCTTCCACCTGGTTCCTGTTCTTTTTTTGCTTATCTTGCATGCATGTATTAAATGCCTCTCTGCAAACAGGCAAAATGCTAACCTAACATTGAGAGCTTCTCTCTGGTTTTGGGAGAAAAGGGAATCTGCTAACCAGGACCATTTCAGAGCAAAGTCCATTGTTTAGTAAATACTGTCAGGGACTTAGCGACCATGCAAGAAGATATTGATGTATTTAAGTCAGTATATGCGTAAAAGCCTTACGGGTTTTAATTTTTTTCTTAATTTCACCTTACCTGCAATCTTTCAGTTACCATTCTCCACAAAGCTCAGCTAATCAACAGCTGGAAGTAAATGAATAACTAGATGCACCCAAGCCAGAAAAGCAGATTGAACTCAGAGGAAATTTTAATTTTAAGTGTATGTCTTGGACTGCTACCAGAAGCCCTTTAGAATGTCATTGTTCTTTGGGGGAAATTTGGATGTGGACAAAAAGACCATTAATAAAGGCTGTCAAAACATCTGTTAAAAATCTGCAAGTTACAAAATATGCATTAAAAAGATAATTAAATATAGATGGTACAGTTTAAAGGTCTTCATTTTCTAGTTTGTAGAAATCTTCATGGGGTAGGCTTAGGCCAGGTATACTTCTGGAATTTTTAAGTTAAAAAAGGAGAAACAAAGACAAAGACCAACCATTCCCTGCACTCCCCTCTCCCTTCCCCAGTTCCTAGTTAGAGTGTACAGGAACAAGAATTTTTCTCTCTCTGGAGAGCAGAGGAGGAAAATGGCAGTTGCGAGTGAGAAAAAAAGCACATTGCTGTTCTGCTCAACTAAGAGGAATGCAGAAGACCTCTGCCCTTCTCTCCTTTCTAGGGGAACTGCCTCTTCTCTACTTAAGACCCAGTGTGTGTTTGCTCCTTTCCAACTATTCCTAGCTGGAAAATAAGAACATAATTTCCCTCCTTTTTTCTTGGCTGAACGAGTTTTTAACTCTGCCGGCTGGGACATCTGCCCCGGGGCTGACTCTTTGCACCTGTGCTGGATGCTGGGGTAGTGCTGGACCTGCTGCCCTCCCTGCTCCTCCCGGGGGACACGCACCCTGCTGCAGGTAGCTTAACCCTTGGGTGAGCCGCCCACAAATGGCTTTGCCTGTGAATATTCATGGATGTTTGAACCAACTTCTTGACTAAGGACACCCTGCCACTTTGAGATGTAATCCCCCAAAAGCTACTTGAACTAAAACCAGTTAGGGTACCTATCGCCCCATCTCCCTGCTGTTGGTTTTTGGGTTTTGGGGAATGTGTCTTTCCTTTCTGAATTTCTGTTTTGTGGTTTTATGATTATGACTGCTGTTTGAAAAACCAGGCTTGGCTTACTGACAGCATAGTTCTGATCCTGTATTAGGGATTGTTTCTATGCCTGTGCATGTTATGAAGTCCCTGAACTGTACAGGGATTTCTGGCAGCAGGTCCTTGCAAGGGACGAGCCCAGCTGGCATTCTAAAAGAAATGGTGAAGTGCATTTCAGGCAAAATAGGTACAACACAGGGTGTACTTAAAATGGAGGTGATTTATGCAATTCATTTTTTGTTCCGATTGACAATATTTTGGGAAGACTGTGGCCTGCAAACTCACTGAGCTAACATCATATCAAGGAGAAGGGGAAAATGTCCAGACTGAATGGTCTTTAAGTAAATCTGATTTCTAACCCGACTGCAGCCCAGAAAGGACCAGACGGGGTCATCATTCCCAATAACTACTGTGACTTCTGCCTCGGAGGCTCCAATATGAACAAAAAAAGTGGCCGACCTGAGGAACTTGTATCGTGCTCAGACTGTGGGCGCTCTGGTAGGTGACTCCTTCTTGCATCTTTCTTGTACAAAGGCATTTGTGTGATTTCGTTTTTGCTTCTTCTGAAGATTTTGAAGAAGGGCAGTGCATTTGGGAGGGGATAGAAGATGAAGTCTTACCTCTTGTCTGTGTTTGTGGGAAAGGATGGCTGGAACATTTTCTGTCATAAAACCCATTGTTGGATTCACATTTTTAAGCTAATGGGGTCTTATGAAATAATAAACTTTTAATGTATTTAGCGGCTTCTGTGAACATTGGTACATGTACTAGTTGTTCTTCAAATGGAAGGAGAAAATCCTGTGACAACGTTAAAGAATGGTCTCTGTCTTCAAATGCTGCAATTACAACTATAAATTACTTACAAGATTTATGAAAGTTGCATGACAAGCATTTCCATTGATTACACATTTCATGCATTTCTTCATCCAAAAAAGAAAGAGGGAGGAAATTACAGGGTAGGGATGGGGGTAGCTGTCAAGAATTATCCTCTTACAAGATGACTATCATTAATTTTGTTTAAAGAGCTTTTTATTTCTCCGTTTTCTTTCCTTCTCTCTTTTTAAATGTAGGCAATTGTGTCTTTCCCATTCTGAGTTGTCTTTTTTTCTGGACTGTTGTTTTCTTCCTTTCTTTCTTTCTTCTTTTTTTGTTTCTTCTCCTTTTTTTGTTTCTTCTCCTTTTTTTTGGGAAATTTTATCCCAGCTGAGCAGTTATTTATAGCTTGTGTGGAAGGTGGTGGCAGCGGTAGAGGGAATGGGAGACCTTTAACAAATGCATATTCCAGCTTTGGTCCAAGTTTCCAGTTGTGGTATTTCTGGAAAATGGTGATACTAGTGGTAATAAGACCATCATATGGAAATCTGAAAACCAAAGAGACCTTGAAATTAAGTATTGCTGCTGCTCCTTCTGTACTGTAGTCACTGAAAGATGTCTGTTGCATGGTGGCTGAAATGTGATGTGGAGTGTTCTCGTGCCAAGGGAGTGGCATTTTTATGCTCCTGCTGAAATTCATAGTAAGCCTCTTACCACATTCAGTGGGAGCAGGACTAGACTCTCACTGACAAATTGCCTTCTGCAGTTGTTGTGACCTCTGAAGATATTCTGAAGTGATACTGACTGTCACCAGAAGACTGATGGGAACCCCTTTGGTTTTCTCCAGGGGCGTCCTTATCAATGCTGTGCAGTCAGGGGCATGGACTTTTTAGCGTATACGTGTTTACTTCTTAATAACTGAAGGGGGAAGCTCATGGGGTCTGTGGTGCCATCTTGGAAGATCATTGCCCTTTCCCTTGATTGTTATAGTTCAATATAACTCATTTCAGCATTGTCCTGATATGGCACAGTGAGACGGATCAATATTTTTTTGCTATTTACACATTGCTATGGTGATTATATCAGAATGTAACACAAATACGTTAATTCCCTTGATTCCTTAGTGGGATAGAACAAGTAGATCAGCATGTAACCTAAATTGTGCAAAATCAGTTCCATTAAATGCTATCCTTGTACAAATTCTGACCCACCTGGGTCGTTCATAGGGTTCTACAATGCTGTGACTGATGTGTGATGAAAGTGATTAAGGTACAACCACACACAAATTTCTAAGCTAAAACAATGAAACCTCTTTGGTGGCTGCCATCTTTCTCTTTCTTGATAATGGAGAACATTTTCATTATACTGAAAGAGAGGTCATGGAAATTACCTTGTTTCTTCCGTTCACAAAGTCAGTAAAATCACATCTCTACAAGGTGGTTCATCTGCCAATTATTTTATTATATACATTTCCTTTTTGTGAACAGGATTTAATTCTTCATGTCTCAAGCAATGCAGTGTACTTGTTATATGGCTGATTCCTGTAGCTGGAGCGGGAACCAAACAGTTGGTTACTTAATACCATGCTACTGTTTCTGAATAATAGAATAGCCGTTCCCTAAAATCTCACACTTTCATTATGCTGGGGCACAAGAGACATCTTTTTCTCTACCTTTTCTGAAGAGGGAATTTGAAGGCTATACCATTAATCACATAACATGTTTGATTGAGGGAGAAAATAAACCTCAGTTTTGCAGACTTCAGTATTTGACTTTTCTTCTTTTTGTTGTTGTTGTTGCCGCTATTGATGTCCTGTGTGGAGAATTTCCTGTTCCATATTGAAAGTTGGATTGACTTACACACATTTGAACTTTTCAGTGTTCCCAAAGACAGGTCATTTCTCATCTTAGTTGGTTTAGTTGTTGAACTGTATATATTTGTTGGGGGGGAGAGGGGGTCTATTTTTGAAGGAGATGCCATGAAATTGGAATAAAAGCATTTGTTTAGGTTACTTTCACTTACTCTTCAAAATGTATTTCATTTTGTCTACAGAGAGGACTCTTTAGGATCAGGTGAAAGACAGGGGTAAAAAATCGTCCTGAGGTTGATGAGCTATCTAGTGGGTTACATTTCTATAGCAGTAAATTTGTGACAGTTGATGCCAGTCTGAAGGACAGTCATTGTGCTTAGAGCTAACGGTGTCTAATTACTTATATGGTCTAAAAATCTTCTAAAATTGATCTAAGTAATCACAAGGAAATATTTTACTGTCTTTTGAAGAGAGGAAAACATGATTAACCCTTTCGCTGCTATAGGTATGGGCACCTGTGTTGTTTGTAGTTTTTTTCTCTTTGAAAGAGATACTGAACCTTTTTTATTTTTCTTACTGCAGTTCTACCGAGCTATGTTGTTGAGGTGCGCAGGCACATACAAGCACACACCTATGAGCTCGATAGTCTGAATTGTTTAATAATAATGATGATTAAAAAAATTATGATGATGATGCCTGTTGCTTAACCCATGTGCTGATATATTCATCATACATGTCAGCTCATTTGGGAAGAGAAGGCAGGAGGGACGAAGCAGCGCCAGCACGCACTACGGAGGACTTGTTCGGTTCCACGTCAGAAAGCGACACCTCGACCTTTCATGGCTTTGACGAGGACGATGCAGAAGAGCCTCTCTCGAGCCGAGGAGGTGGCTGTGGTGGCAGCTCTCCCTCTGCAGACAAAAAGGGCGGCTGCTAAAATAACTAAAAAGACACACAAACTCTGAGCGATTTGCTGTCCTTTTTACTACTAGGATTATTATTACCTTTTTCTTTTTTTAATTTTAGGTCCTTGGGTTTTGGGGGCTTTTTGTTGTTATTTTTGTTGTTTTTCCTGTGGGGTGTACACTGAAAGCACAAACGTTTAAAGCTCTTGACAACTACTTGGAAGAGACAGAAGGTTTTGATTTTCCTGTTATTTTTTTCATTTTAATTTGTTTTTCTCCCACCTCCCCCCCTTCTCTTTCTCTCTGGAAACGTAAAAGGTGGATTTAATATTTTTTTTAATAGTGAGCAGAGTTGATTTTCTTGTCTTTTAATATATATATCGGCAAACCACGAAAAATACAGATGGGTTGGAGAGCAGAAAGCAAACCCAAATAGGTTTTTTTAATTATTATTATTTATATATTCTATATATTATTAGAAAAACTACTTTTTAAATAAAAATAGAAAAAAGAAAACAAAAAAGCAATGGATGTCTACTTGATAATAGAACTGTTTCTAGAGAACCACTGTGGGCGGACTCTATTGGAGGACAAGGAAACTCTTGATGTGATGGCTTCTGCATTTTGAGATTTTGCACTTATTGTAGCATGTGGAGTTTGGCTCTTCTTGTACACCTGCTACGCTTGTCTTTAACAGCCTGAAAATACAAGCAGCACCATTGAAGACCATGACTTTGGGGAACACATTTTCATCCCTCCTTTGGACACCTTTACACTCAATAGATCTCTTCCTCCCTGCACCCCTTCATGTCTTCCTTACTCCGTTCTGCTTTTTTTTTTTTTCTTTTCCTTCACCTTTCACTTCACGGACAGCAATTTCCAAGCATAGGGGTGGAATATGAATGGCAAGTCATAGACGTCAAAGACAAAACAGATGGAGGAGCAGAATCATGGAAGAAATGATATGGAAAAATACCTCACCTATACTTTTCTTTCCATTTTTAACTTTTAATTCACAGCATTTTTTCCTGTGTCGCCCAGTTTTTTCTCTCTGTAGTGTCTTGTGAGACACTTTGTTTGCTTTTCAATAGCTTCTCTTGAAATAAACCAAAGCAATACTCATTAAAGTTCCAAGGGCAATGGAGAAGAGAGTGACTCCCTTCCCAGCGACTTTCCCAGAAAGGAGGAAACACGCAGCAGGATTTGAAAGGTATGTCTGAGCTGAAATGTCTTTCACTCAATTGTGAAATCTCTGTGCCCTGGATTTTCAACAGACCCTTGACTGAGCTTTGTTGTAGGAGTAAATCCTGTGGATTAAATTGTATTATGGGTATGCACCACATTCATACCCTTGGTGAAGCTAATGGAAATCCTGTGGGAGCAGGATCCAGCCTTGTGTGCAGTCAGAAGTGGTTCAGAAGGAGTCAGTGTGTAGGTTACATTTTGCTATCTTAATGCAGGCAAAAATCTCCCTGGAGTGGGGGCAAGATTAGGTTCTAAGGATATATTTTTACTGATGTGTATAATGCCAAACAGGGTGAAATGATGACCTCATTTAAATCAGAGGCAAAATAGACATTTATCTGGACAGTGTCTAATCCTTAAACTGGCAGTGTGTGTTTTTGATACCAGAATAAAAATCTCAGCCTCGCAATGAAGACTTCAGATATATATTGTTCTAATGCATGAATGAAGCCTATCCAAGTGGATTCGGTTTCTCCTGTTTCTTGTGCTGGGGTAGCACAATACTGTCTGTGAGAACTCTTTCAATGTTTTTTCCCTCCCTATAAGGCTTAAAAAAAAAAGACAAAGGATGCAGTCTCTAATTTTTTTATTGTTCACTTTAGACATGGAATAAGCAGTGGCTAGATTCTGCTTTTAGGTACATGGGTGTAAATCCAGAATACATGCTAACTGATGTCTACATTACATTAATAATATGCCTTCAGAATGGTGTCAAAAAATGTTAC